ATGTTCCTTTTCCTTGCTCCATTCATCCATAACCTTAATATGTGTGGCTGCTTTTGCAAGCAGCCTTCCTGTCTTTTTTACCTAATGGATCCAGAAGAAGTCAAAACTCATAGAATGAAAACAGAGCCTACACCCAAACTGAGAGCCAAGTAATGGGAGAAGACAGGAGCATGGCATCCTGGGTACTCCACATTTATTGTACAAAACAGCACACACACTTAAGAAGGTGGATCTGGCCTCTTTATGAGTCACTGAGCAAGCCTATGAAGCAGGAGTGAGAGCTTCTGGGTTAAGTGGGTCAAGTTTGTGAAGACAAACTTCTGACCACTCCATGTATCTGTTGGCTACAAATCCATCCAGCAGCCACAATGACATTGACCATGTGCAGAATTTAGAAATCACAGGATCCTGTTGCCAAGTTGAGAGTTGGAATAATCAGATATAGACTTTCTTCCCTGAAGCTCTGAAGTAGCTTGCAGTAGAAGTGAAATAACTCAGTAGCCATAGCTAAAATGTCATCATAGCTGTTAATGCATGTTAATGCGTGTTAAAACAGCCCTCTGCAAGGTCCCACTCAAGTGTTGCTAATAGTGTGAGGGGATGTACTCCACTGAGGTTTCCATAATGTGAGAGGGAGAGAGTTTATTTGGATCACATGTTCCAGTCACAGTCCATCACCGAGGGAAGCCAGGACAAAAATTCCTGGCAAGAACCTGGAGGCAGGAACTGAAGTGGAGACGTGGAGCAGTGCTGCTCCCTGGCTTGCTTCTCATGGTGTGTTCATCTTCCTTTCTTATATAACTCAGGTCCACATGGCCAGGAGTGGCAACCACTCACAATGGGCTGGGAATTGCCTCATCAATTGTTGATCAAGAAAATGACCCCATATACATGCTCACAGGCCAATCTTTTGGAGGAAATTCCTCAGTTGAGGTTCCCTCTTCTTGGATGACTCTAACTTGTGTCAAGTTGACAAAAATAACTCAGCACAGAGGAGGAAAAGGTCTTATTTACAGCTGTGCATAATAGGGACATCATGAACAGCAGAGGCCATGAAGAGCCACTTTGTGGCTTGACCATGCACTCACACTTACATTTGTCATCACTGTCCTGTAAGCATTGTCACCAATATATCAGTGTCCCCACAGTACTGGGTCCAGGAATCCCCTGTGACAAAGGTGATACTATGTTCGCTGTAGACTTTGGAAGCAGATATAGCCATAAGCTGACCATAAACATCAGCATTTTCAGCTGCTGTCTCAGATGGAGCCCCTTCCATGTGTGTCTGGAGCCCTATAGCAACAAACCCAGCCAAGGCTTACTCTGGCCACTTCATGCCTGCTCCCAGAGAAAGGCTATGAATCTAACTCAGTTTGGAAGATCCCTTATAACCATGGAAATCAGCAAGCTTATCAAATTAAGTTTCAACTGTCAACTCAACACAGACATGGAGTCATTGGGAAAATGGAACCTGAATTAAAGTATTGCCAAGATCAAGTTTGCCTATGGCCATGTCTGTGAGGCATTTTCTTAATTGGCAAAGGATGTGAGAGTGATCATCCCTCTGTGGCTGGTACCATCGCTAGGTAGATGAGCCTAGGCTATGCATGAAAGACACCTGAGCAAGCCAGGGGAGGACAAGCCAATAAAAAATAAATAGTTCCTAACTCCACATTCCTGCTTTGAGTTACTGCCTTGCCTTCCCTGATGATGAACTATAAACCATAAGCCAAATATATGCTTTCCTGACCCTACTTGCTTTTGGTCAGTGTTTTATCATAGCAACAGAGACACAAACTAGGACAGAGTCACACAGTGATAGACATCAGTGACACTTCTTAGCCAAGAAAGGCAAAATTCTTCATGATACACTTGTTTGACTTTAAATCACTTTAAATCTCACTGCTTCTGGATCTTCTGTTCAAGGAACACTTGAGGTTACCAACAACTAGGCTGTTTTCAAGCTCAGGACTGTGTGTCCAGCAACCTTGGAACCAACAGAGTGTCTGGCAGCTAGAGAGACAAGAGGAATGGGACACTATTCCTGCCCATGTATAAATCCTCACCCAGTCAGAGGATAGCCTGCTTGGCCATTGATTACTTGGGGAAGAGTACCACAACAACGTGTCACTGATTGGAAGCCTAAGTGAGACAAATGGGCTGAGGAGGGAGAATGCAAAGAGTAGTAAACACTTGTAAATTGTTGAAGAACAATAGAAGCTAGATAGGTAACAAAAGATGAGATGGGAAAAAGCTCACTGAGAAAAACGTAAGAACATTTTTGTTTGTTTATTTGTTTGTTTTTTGAGAAGCTGTAGACAACTATTACTTATAAAACATAGGCTCTCTTTCTCTCTTTCTGTGTGTGTGTGTGCAGGTCAAAGGACAACAGGTGTCATTCCTCATGTGTCTTCTACATTTTGTTTGAGACAAGGTCGTTCATTGGCTAGAACTTCACCAAGTAGCCATGGCTAGTTGATTGGCAAACTCCAGGGGTCTGCCCAGCTCTGCCTCTCACCATCTCATCACTGACATTACAAGTGTGGGTCATCACTCCCAGCTTTTTACATGGGCTATGGGGATTGAACTCAGATACTCACGCTAATAAGTTAAGCATTTTACCAGCTGGCCCATCTCCCCAGGCACCACACCTACAATTTCAGTTAGGAGGCCAAAGGTAAGGTTCAGGGAGATAGCTTTTCTCCAACCCCACGCCAAGTGTAGACCTGTAGCCTTATCTTAAGGCTGAGGCAGATCACTAATCCCAGGACAAAAATCAAACCTTTTGTGTTTTCCTGCAGTGAATTCTTCCTTATTTCATCTTTTGTTATCGAGCTAACTTCCCTTATTCATCAACAGTGTGGTGACAGTCCATCTCAAAAGAAAACAACTGCAAATCAAAAGAAGCAGAGAAAGAATAGAGGATGTAGTAAGCCCAGTGGTGGAGCACATGTCCAACAAGGACAGGGACTCTGGGTTTGAACCCAGCACCAAATGTCATTTCTAACAGGAATGTCATTTCTGTTAGAAGACAGCATTTCTTATATCATTCACTAATCCTATTGATACCTAAAGCTGAGCATTAAAAAAAGAAAGGGTAGCATCTTCAATTCTAAAAAAGAGGAAGCCCTCAAACCAAAAGGTGATTTCTTGATGTAAGCTAGGGTATGCTTTCTCCCTAGAGGTTTCCCTGCTGTGGGAAATGTTTTTGGCATCTGCACATTCTTCCTGGAGTCTTGTACTGTCCCTCATTGTAGTTGGTTAACTGTACATGAGTGTGTGAGTTTATTGATCTGTCTACCAGTCTATCCATGTTGGCCAGCTATCATTTTTCTATTTATCTAGCATCTATCTATCTATCTATCTATCTATCTATCTATCTATCTATCTATCTATGTGTATCTGCCTGTCTTTCTGTCTATATCTCTCTGTCTTTCCATCTATCTATCTCACTTTTTTCACCCAGGAGATCAGGCTTCACCTACATTCTCTTCACCCTGTAACAGTTTCTAGAAGACAATCTCCCACGAAGCTGGCATGTGCCTCAGACCCCTCTGTACAGCGCTGTGCCCCTCTGTGCTCTGTCTAATGCTGGTGGTTGCTGCAACTTCAGTTGGTGAGAATTTCGCTCCCATCCAGCAAATGGAAACACCTGAGGCCAGAAGGGCTGGGCTCAGCCAAATGGCAGTTCGTAGGATTTGGTTGATTTTAGGGTTGCTTTGTTCTTGTTTCGTTTTCTTGTGTTTTGTAACTGAGACAGTTTGTTACTCTTCAGCCTAAGCTGATCTAGAACTCATTGCTTAGCCCAGGCTGGCCTGGAACTCTCAATAATCTTCCTACATCAGCCTCCTTGGTAAAGTCTGTGATTTGGAGGTGAGCTGGAGGAGGGCCATAACAGAGAGCAACCATGCCTTGTATGTGTGCATGAAAATATAGCAAATACCCAATTATTCTACATGCTAACTCCAAGTGACAAAATAAATTTATTTTTTAAAAAAAGAAATAAAAATAAAGAGGGAGTTTTGTATTGATGTGGGAAAGGCTTTTTATAAATTTAGAAGTATTCCCTTTGGCTACATACTCTGCTGCGTCTGCAAATCAAACGGGATCCTTCTGAGCATCCAGGGATGCTCCTTGTCTGTTGCCAAGAAATTGAGTAACGTAGTCCAGTTCACCTGATCTAGACAGGTTCTTTTTTTTTTTTTTTTTTCTACACAGGTTCTTAATGGTAAGCACAGCCCCGCAGCCTGGGGTTTCTGCTTCAGCTTCTAAGCCTGGCTTAGCTTTGAGGTGCCACAGTCCAAATGGCATGAATTTGAAAAGCCCAAATTATCCCCAAGTCCCAGCTCTGCCATTTATAGCTTAGCGACTTAAAGCAACCCTGTTCAAACCTCGGTTTCCTCGCCTATAAATGGAAGTGACCATGCCTAACCCGTAGTGAGCCTTTGGGGCTCAGCAGGAGAAATTGGGGACCAGGTGTCCATACACCAAGCGCATTGGCTGCCTGATTTAGATCAAGGCGGAAACATTGGAAATTGCAGTGTCCGTGGGTCAGAGGACGCCCACACTAGTCCCTGCTGTCACTGAACTATAAATTAAGCTAAGTGCCATCACATCTCTCTTCACTCGGGGTCAGGGATGAGGAGTTGCTGAAGGTGGCCCATAGCACTTGTTTGTACTCGCTTTCTGTTCCTTGGGGTTTTGCTGAGCATTTTCGTTAGAACACCACCAGACCCAGCGCGGGCGCTCACCGCGGATCTCCCGCACTGTCGGTGAGTGCGGACCCCGCCCGCCCTGGGTTCCCCGCACGACCACTCAGCCCCGCCCCGAGCCGCCTCTTCCCCTCCTCGGAGGGGCCAGCCCCGGCCCACCCGCCTGCTGCAGTGGGCGGCAGTCAGGACTCAAGCTTGCGATCTCGGGCGAGGTGGCCACTGGCGCTGCGCAGGGCGGGGCAGAAGCCCGGGAGGTGGGCAGGACCTGGCCAGGCGAGGCCCCAGGGCACACGCTGCCGCCTGGCGGGATGGACATCCCGGGGACGCGGCACTGAGCGAGCACCGAAGTCAAGCAAGCCTGCGGTTCCCCCCGGGAGCCCAACACCGTTCCCTCGGCCACGATGATCCCTCCAAGTGGCGCCCGCGAGGACAGCGGGGATGGGCTGACCCGGGAGGCTACGGGCACAGAGCAGCCGCCCTCTCCTGCGTCCACCAGCAGCCTGGAATCCAAGGTACCGCGCGCCTGCCCTGTGGAAACACCAAGTCCCTTTCCCTCTGTCACCTTTCCTCTGGGGTCCGGGTGCCCGGGGGAGCTGGGACTCATCCCCAGAGAGCTGGGGGTCTGCTGAACCCATTGCTACTTTGAGCCAGCTGCTCAGAGCAAACCTTGGCAGAGCTTCTGCCTTAGGAGCCCAGCACTTCACCCTAACCCTGGTGCCCAGATGGCTTCCTTGGCGGGAGAAGGGAGTTAGGATGATGCATGCCCTGAACCTGATTGTGTCCCCAAGCCTTGGTGGGAATGGGTGGCTTCTGGGGGCAAACAGACGGACAGCCTAGGGTTATTCTTTTAGAAAGCTTGAACACTGAGTCCACAAAGCGTGCCTCATCCTGGGGTCTCAAGAGACCTTTCGCTTACTAGGGTGCCTCCCTAACTTAGATACCACGAGGTTAAAGAAATATATTAAGAGAAAGTTAGCGTTCCTGCTGTACAAGTTGCTACACTGTAGAACTTAACACTTAACACTTGTCTTTTTAAGAGTCACAGTAACACATATACACAAAACCAACCCCGCAGCACGTCTGCTGTCACATTCATACTTCCTTTGAAACTTGCGTGGGTGCCAGGCACATGTTTGGAAAAGTTGGAAGAGAACCAAGTAAAGCGTGGCTGCTTAACTGCACAGAGCCAAATGGCAACTGGGCCAGGAGAGTAAGCCTCGTAAGACGGAGACGCGGTTAGTTTCATAGATTCCTTTGAGTGCGGGGCTCCTGGCTACGCAGAGGTCTTTGGGAGTACTTGGAGTAATTTGGGGGGTGGGGGTGGGCAGGGGGTGTAAGTGCTCCCTATGCCGCAAAGGGATGCAGGTTTAGAGGGCCAATCAGAGCAAGGAAAAGTGAGAGCCTTATGGCACCCCAGCGCCAGAGGCACTGGTGACAGGCATGACACCGGCACCGTGACACTCCCAGTGTCAACGGTTAACTATCAGAGATGGTGGTCTAAGACCAAAACTGCTGCCCCCTCCAATTTAATTCCGAGCTATCCCATCTGGGCACCAGTGGCGACTTCTCTAAAAAGCCAATCGGAAAGGCAGACAAGACCATTTGAAGAATAGGTGAGAACTCCTAACTCTCTCTTGCTGCCTTGACAGATGTATCCTTTCCCTGTGTGAGTTGGGAAATGGGATCCACCACACTAGATGGTTCATTTGGAAACAGGCTCCGTGCCCGTATATGAAATACCTCTCTTCTACCTGGAACCCAATGGAACTAATTCTTGTCCAGCATTGACCACCACTCCTAGAGAGGCCGAGGGCCAGCTGCCATTTGAGAGGTGCTCTGGCATTCTGCAGATGGTATAACACAGCACAAGAGTGAAAGTATTTATTTTTTTTAAACTTTACATTGGGCCTACCATCCTGCAGTAGGTAGGTTCGGGAAAGGTCTTAGCCTTTGGGTGAAACAGCAGCCTGATTCAAACACACAGCATGGGTCTGTTATTTATAGATGTCTTCATGTAAATCATTTGGCAAAGCAAAAACCTTCTACGTAATGCCCGTAATTACCCACCAATTTATCTGGCTCACAATTTCAGCTCTGTAGATGTCCATTCTTCTCAAAGTCATCTACGTGCCTGATGGGCATCTAAGCACCTGTCCATTTGCCACTGTGGCCCTAGGCATCCTAGGCGATCCTTAGCCCATCCTAGGAGATGGGCTCCTCAGAGGCAGCCCTGACCCCTATGAAGCTAGACACAGAACAGCATGCATAGGGGTGATTTTTCTGAAGTGGTGTTTGTGCCTGGATCAAGGGGGTTCACACCCTGGAAAGAGGCTGCTGCTGTGGAAGACCTGTGGTGAGGGGTAATGGCTTGGGACAGGAGCTGGGGAGACCACCAGTGTGCACAGCGAATGTCACCGGCCTTTAGGAATGTCTGTGCCCTAGAGAGCAGAAAGCCTGCTGGGAAAAAATAGGCAGAGCAGCGATGGCTCCCTATCGGGCTCTCCCAGGAAGTGGTCATGCTCATCAAGATGTGCACATTTCAACAGAAACAAGAAAATAGATTTCTAATACATCCCAAAAAATGTCAGGTACACTAAATGATAGACACATTAATCAGCTACATTAAATTCCAGATCCATATTTCAAAAAGATCACATATACTTCATATTGCAACACAATTATGATATGTCAGCTAAACACAATAAATTAAAATATCGACTGGGAGATGCAGTATAGGGCCTACTGGGCACTGAAATTTCTCTGTGAAGACTTTTTTGTACATTTAGTTTTTTGACTTATTTCATGGATTTATTAATGTAAATATGTGTGTGGGTCTGTGCCCACTATGGTGCCTGTATGGGGGTCAGAAGAAATCAGTTCTTTCCTTTCACCGTGTGGAATCCAGGGATCAAACTCGGGTCGTCCAGCTTTTGGCAAGCGCTTTTAGCCACTGAGCCATTCCACCGGCCTGTAGAGACTTCAATTCCTCTTAAGAGATGCTTTGTACCAGGTCATGGACCTGTAATCCTGGCACTTGAAAAGCAGAAGCAAAAGGATTACAGCATGAGACCTTGCCTCAAGAAAGAGAGAGAGAGAGAGAGAGAGAGAGAATTTCTAAATATAAAAATAACAAGTGCTAGACATTTGAAAAGTCTGGGGGCACCACTTGACAGTCCGAAAGCAAACTCAGGCAGCACTTCATTCTCTGTCTTACTTGTTTTCGCCTATTTTTGTGTTTACTTAGTGGCAAGGACAATGGTGTCTACCAAATACTGCCTCTAGGCAGACATGACCCTAAACTAGAAGGTTCTACTGTGACAGCCATTGCATGCCTAGAGCAGTAAGAAGCTCTGGAAAGAGAGGTGACCAACCCAAGGTCATGCAGCTCACTGAATGGCAAGAGCAGGACCAGAGCAACATGACCCTGCAGTCAGTATTTTTTTGATCTTTATCTGTCCTTTGTTTGTGCAATGCTTGCATCAGCCATTTCTCCTGGTGTCCCAGAGATCAGGACCTCAGTGAGAGGTCAATGGCAACACATCTGTCCTCCACATCCTCTCCCTCCTCCTCTCCTTTCTCCTCTTTTCCTTATCATCATCTTTACTTTTGTCTAGGATTACACACCTGCTCACAGCTTTTAATCGCATTTATTTATTTATGTGCATGAACACACTCTATCATGAGTGCACATAGCATGGTTCATGTGTGAAGGTCAGAGCACATCTTCTGGGAGTCAGGTCTGTCCTTGTACCACAAGGCTTCTTGGGATGGAACTCAGATCGTCAGACTTGGAAGCAAGAGCGTTCATGCGGTGAGTCATCTTGTCAGACCACGTCTTCTAAGAAATGAGGCTATGGCAGTGGCTTAATTAGTAAAGTATTTTCCACACCATCATGAAGGCCCAACTTAGATCCCCAAAAACGCCCTTTAAAAAGCTAAGCTGCCTCTGTCATGAACTCAGTTGCCTGGTGGTGCAGCCTTGCCAGGCCATGGAGGAAGAGAATCCAGGCAGTCCTGATGAGACTTGACAAACTACAGGAAGATGGCAATAGTGGAGAACTCCCCCTTTCAGTGGACTAGGGAAAAGGAATGGGGGAAAGAGGGAGGAAGGGTGAGACTGGGGAGAGATGAGGGAGGGGGCTTCAGTCGGAATATATATAATGAATAAATTGTGAAAAAATTTTTTTAAAAAAGCTAAGCACAGCTGTGCCTATTTATAATCCCAGTGCTAGGAAGGCAAAAACTGCAGATCTCTAGAGCTCACTGAGCAACCAGCCTAGCCTACTTGGCACATTCTAGGTCAGTGAGAGACTCTGCCTCAAAAAGCAAGGTGGACGGCTCCCGAGAATGACACGTGAGGCTTTACTCTGGCCTCCACGGGCAAGCACACACATGCATGCCTGTACAAACATGCATAAACAGAAAAGAAAGAAATCAAGAACTGGGGATGTAGCTCGGTGGTGGAATGCTTGGCTTTTTTAGCTTGCTCACAGGACCTAAATTCAACCCATAGCACTTCAGAAACAAGTAGATGAGCAGAGCCACACAGTGTGTGAAATGGCGGTGCCCAGATTTTATTTGGCTTCTCTGTCCTTGTGTTTGCTGCTTCCCACCCCCAAAAAACATGTGTAGAAGAAATTAAGTGCATTATCCCAGAATCACCTGGGACTTTCTACTCCAGAAGCCTATACGACATGCTAAGAGGCAAGCACATTCACGCAGCGTCTGAGTAAATAAAATGCACAAAGCACCACCAAACATAAAACAAGGCCACACCACATCTATCGCTGAAGTGCGTTTTCTTTGCATTTTCCTTGGAAAGCTAAATCACAGAGGGTCGAAATTAGTAGCACTAGAGAACATTTATTTCAGGTGCTTTGAAAACAGTGTCCTTGTATCATGTGACACTGCTTTTGTGGAAAATTTCAATACACACAAAGGAAAACAAACAGCATCAAGAACACCATCGGTCTAAGCAGCGTCTTTCCAGGTTACCAGTTCAGGGACAGTATGTTTGATGGGCTATCCCATCACTAGCATCCCTCCCCGACAGGATCATCTTAAAGCAAATTCTGAGTCATCAGATCCCTTTACCAGGAAAATCTCTTAGGTTGCTTATCTAAAAGATAAGAACTGTTTGGGTAAACCTAAGATCCCATTAGCACATACTACAGATATTTTGTCATTGAGGGTCAACAGAGTCTTTCAAAGGTTCAGAAACTGTGAGAAATCTGTGAGTGAAGAGAACCAACATTTAAAGCTACACAGGCACGTGTGTTACCTGGGGAAAGCATGTCTACTTTATATATATATAAGTTCCCCAGGAACATACAGCACCCCTCCTTCTCTCTCTCCCTTCTCAGATAGGCTCCAATAAAGGACTATCAGTTGCTGAGATGACGAAGCACAGGTAGTTAAGTCATTATTGGCTTCTTGGCTATGCTACTAGTTGAAAATCCAGTCTTTGACTTGATTTCCTTAGAGCCAATTCCTGTTAGCACATGTAGTCATG